GACGAACGACTATATTTGTTTTAACGTAAAAATACCAATAGCCATAAATAATTTATCACAGATTTTTATTTTAGCATGTCATAAAATATTTTTTAAATAGTATTTATATAATATTCTGCACTGTTTTTTTTTTTTAATATCATAATTTCAAACTTCAATTAAATTTTCAAGGTTCTTTATTGTCATTCGCATCACATGTGGTACATGAGGTGGAACTAAATTGTGTGCCCAAGGTCCCAGTTATACCCAAAAATAGCAAACAAAATAAAATAAAGTATAAAAAGAAACAGTAAACAAGGATCTAAGATATACGCTAAACACTAACACTTTAAATTAATACGGTATATTAAGCAGCAGCCTGAATATTCATTCAACCTTTATTTCTACAGGTTAATCTCATTGAGCCCCGAGAACTCATATACAAGAGACCTGTTTTTAACAAAGAATGATGACAACAGTAAACAACAATGACAACAGTAGATAATCATAAAAGAAAGCATATAAACTGAGAAATGAATAAAAGAAAATGACATTAAAAAATAAACAAAAGCAGCTGTATTATAAAGTGATATAAAATGCTAAAAACAGGAACAGGTCTGTGTTGGTTTTTCCAGGAACTTATCAGATGTTTGAAGCCACTTAGAGAGGTCAAAGGTCGAGAGCTTCAGATCTTTTTGCAAGATGTTCCAGGAAACAGGAGCGGAGTAGGAGAAGGTCCTGAACCTGCTGACCCGACTGTGGATGAGTAGAAGATGGAGATGGAGAGCCTGCTTTTATTTGCACACAAAACCAAAAAGAAGCCCTTTGTGTTTAAAAAGTGAGCTGGAGCGTTCCATTTTACTTGGGAAAAGTAGATGCATATTTTTTTTATGCCAGGGGCAAACTTTGTGTCTGGCTGTTTTAGTCCTGTTAATTGTGACATAATTATAAATCATAAAATAAAAATGTAACAGCTACAATCTTGAACATGAAACAATTGGTATTTGGTTAAAAAAACAAAAGAAACTGAACATTCAGAACATGTAGGTGATGGGCAGCAGGTGGAGGTGATGGGCAGCAGGTGGAGGTGATGAGTGGAATTACAGCAGGTGGAAT